TGGAGTCTATTAGATAGATATGATACAAACCACTGCAGTGCAGTACCTGTAATACCTACAGCATGTTCTAATCGCTCTAATAGGATATTATGGTCAACAGCATCGAATGCTGCACTGAGGTCTAGCAGGACAAGCACAGAGATGAGTCCACTGTCAGAGGCCATAAGAAGATCATTTGTAACCTTCACTAAAATAACAAGAAGGCATCGGTGGGCAAAAGACGATAACAGAGCGTTGTTGGAATGCTACTACGCAAGTAACCCCGGCAGAAGGGGCTACATGAATAGGATGAGGGACCTATGGATTCTTCGATGCCCAACATCCACAACGACGGCGAGGAGCACTAGGTTCGGTGACTCCCAAGCTAGGCGAGTGGCTCCAGCAGATCCCGGGAATAACATCGGAGATCTATGTCCTGGGAACAGCTAAGATACTGCGCAGGACCCTCAAGCTCCCAGGCCTCTGGTAGAGGACCCGAGCTTGAAGGATACAACGAAGCTCCTGACCATGCATGAAGGGTTTCACTCCAAGTCCAGCACCCGGAGGCTGTATGCTAAGTGGAATGAAAGAGGCCGGGACTGGTGAGTGTCAGCACCACAGTCCAGGATCAGACATGAACATCCACTAACACATCAGGTAGAAGGCCCCAACCCAAGAAAGAGGAGGAAGAGGAGGAACCATCATGGAAGGACAGGCCCCTGCATGGTGTGTACCACTGGCAGATAGAGGAAGTGGCTGACATCCAGAAATCCTACCAATGGCTGGACAAAGCTGGACTGAAAGACAGCACAGAGGCACTAATCATGGCAGCACAGGAACAAGCTCTGAGCACAAGATCCATAGAGGCGGGGTCTATCACACCAGGCAAGATCCCAGGTGTAAACTGTATAAAGATGCCCCTGAGACAATGCATGACATAACAGCAGGGCACAAGATGCTAGCAGGCAGGGCATACACAGAACGCCACAACTAAGTGGCTAGCATAGTAAACAGGACCATCTGTGCGGGGTTTAACCCTCACCCCAATAAGGGAAATTTAAAACTGTTGGTTAAGGGTAAATGTAGCAG